ACATGTATGTAAATGTGCATTCAAATGTTGAGTTTGAATCAACACCACGCGTGTGTGGTATGAAAGTATTATTTTAAAATACGAACATTTTAAAACGATAATCAAATAAAAAATGTTCATTTTTACTGTGCGTTATTTCCCTCAATGAATTCATAAAATTTTCCGAATATTACAACGCGTTTTTTCTCTTAGTGTAGTGATTTTTTTGTACAATCAAATCGAAAACCGGGACACTTAAACGAAGCCCGGGACATTTTAAGGTTGGACCGGGACACCGGGACAAATAGTCTAAAACCGGGACATGTCCGGGAAAACCGGGACGTCTGGCAGCCCTAGCATAGGGCGACTATGATTACTCGGCCGTGCTATCATAGTAGCACAATGCCACTCATATTTGACTTACAAACAAAAAACGGGCAGGAATTTCAAGATTTCAACCCTGTTTTTATGAAAAATTTTATTTTTATCCGTATTTTTCTTTAAATCAAAATATGTTGAAATAAAAGTGAAACTAGAACCACTGATAGGAGTGAACGTGAAGAGGGAACGATTCAGTCTCCGCCCAATCACAGATCCTACAATAAATTTGTGTGCCGTCTCATGCTGCGTAGTTTATGTAGACTTCTTTATAACCACAGCGATTTACATATATTGCTGAAAATTTATTAAAAGTCTTGTAAATTTCAATTTGTCAATTTCTTAATAATTCATATTAAGATTTCATTAAAATAGAATTCGAATTATTGGAGTCTACGTTCAAAAACACATTTATATAAATACATATACATAAGGCACGGTGCACATTAGAGCGACACGATACGATACGCGATACGATATGAATGCGACATCGGCATGCTGAGTACGTGGGAATTGGTAGGAAGCGATGAAAACTGTGCACACTTGCACGACAGCGACACCGCTGCGATATAATATTGCATGCGTATCGCACGTGCGACACGGTTTTCTTAACGAGGTGAGACCCTTTCGCTTCAAGAAGGCATTATTTTAACATGGGCATGCCATTGGCGGTAAGCCCTTACCCGCAGCATTACCTTCAAACGAAGGGAGAACGCATGGATAAACAGAATCCAGAGAAGCGAACAAAGAATGCCTTACAGAATAACTAATGTAGAATGCCTAGATAAGTACATATATTTATATTAAATTAAAATCAGAAAATGTCTTAGAAGATTAAAATTAATTAAAATTTTTATAAATCTGTTTTTATACATACAAATCACATTAGGTCAAATGATTCATTTGGCTGTGCGAAAGTCCAATTTCGTAAGGGCAGATTTACATTATTTTTTGTTGCCATTCTATAATACACCAAAATAACATAATCTTCACTTTGTTTTTGTAAAACAAAAAATACCGTTAGACAGCAATAAACCAAAGTTACACTTTCAAAACGTTATTGGCAAGTTGTTTGCGCAACCGGTTTAAGTTTCAAGTGCATTTTTTGTGTAAAGTTCGAATAACTAAAGGAATATTTTAAATGGAAACAAAACTATAAGTGAGAGCTTATGCCCCAATTTAAAAAAGTGACTTTTTATCATTTGTTTGCAAAAACAACTGACTTATTTGCATAACCTCGAAAATTTTCTGATTTATTTCCATTTATGATTTTATATAAGCTTTTACAATTTTTTTAACCTTCGGCAAACGAAATGGAAAAGGAGATGGATAAATTAAGATGTAAGGAGTTGATTTTATTTTACTTAGCCCGCCGTTTTTAGCCGTTTTCAAGAAAAACGGTTTTTTCTGGGCTAATATGCTATTACAAAAGGTGAGTTGTTTGAAGTTTGGCTGATTGGCTGATTGGGTGTTCGAAAAAGGAAAAGCTTTTTTCGGTTGCCAACCATTTTGAAAAAATTTGGTGCTGCTGATATTTGCGAAAGTTCCATAAAACTCTTAGAAGAAAAAACCCGTATATTTTGCAATTTTTTATCAAAGAAAGACGAAAATTCTGGAAGGCATTTCGGAAAGGATGCTAAAATATTTAGATCTGCTGATGAAGTTCCGGATTCTAACTTTCATTATCGCTAAAATGCTAAAATACGAAAGCTAAAATTTTTCCGAATTTTCAGCTATCTTCAAAAATTGCGGTTCTGTCCTCCTTTTCGCTAAAAATAGCTTAGCCTAAATTTTTTGGTGATAAATAGTCAATTTTAATGGTGATAAATAGTGAAAATGGAAGTATGTGATAGCAAAAAACATAACAGCCTCAATTTGAATTACATTTCATCTCTTGTAGCGTAGCCATGGCTATGTTACAAAGACACTTGCGCCGATTCGCAAAGACCATTGATGAGCAGCCTTCGCAAAAAGACAAATCCTTGACAAAATTTACGGATTGAAATTTCAAAATTTTTTACTCAAAGTGAACAGAGCCTTGAATATTCGTTTGAAAAACATTCGTATTCTTTTCAGGAAGTTACCTGCGATTTTTGGTAAACGTGTCACAAAGCAGCATTTGCATTCTGAATATAAATAATATCGGAGGATTTGGGAATACTGAAACCTCAAATGAAAATTAAGTGTTTTATGAAGACTAACTGCTTCAGAAATCTCTCCTCAAGGCATATCTGCGAGACATGCAGTAAATATATATATATTTTTTTAATTCAGGAATTTCCAGAAGAAACCATTTATGTACATGTGACCATACTTATTTTATTATGGAGCTAATTTTATGAGTATGGTAAGAATGCAACTTATGTCAAAACCAAGCTAATTGGGCAATGTTTTTGAGTACTACTTAAACACATTTACTCATCATATGAACATACAAAAAAGAAAAAAGTCTCTTTTACGAAAGCCAAGTCATGTCTTCACATTTTATTTACTGCCTTTATACTTTTTTAACGTTTGCCATATTTTTATATTAAAATAATGCAATATTTTAGCTGCTATTAATTTCGCACAGAAAAGTTATCATTTGACCTAATGTGTATATGTATGTATTTAGGTATTTAGATTTTACTTAAAAATCGGTATTTACATACATGCATATTTAATTAAGTTTAAAATTGCACTTCCTCACTCTTGTACTTCACTTCATTGACTGACTTCAACTTCGCTGCAAATTGAACAAAGAAAAACATGAGTTTTATGCGAGACAAATTTCCACAGAAAGTAACAGTGGAAAATGAATTTTTGGATATTCATTCTATTTTTCAGCTGACTACGATGCAGCATTCTACTTTGCATTCTCCGAAATGAAGAAAAGAAGCGAAATAAAAAAAAAATATTGTAGGACATTCTACTTTGCATTACCGGCAATCCCTGAAAGAAGCGAAAAAATTCGAAGGCATTATAACGCTATGCCTTCTAGAACACGTTACCACTAAAAGCGATTACCGATTTTTTGCTGGGTATTTGCAATAAGCATGACCCTTTTTTCAGGCGGAAACATCTTCCTCAATTTTTTTTATTCAAATTTATAAAAAACCCATGTTTATGAACTATACAGAAAAAAACGACTGTACAACAGACATGACTAGTTTGGCATGGAGAAATGTAGCGTCTGAGGTAAATGCACAAATGCAGGTAAATGCACAAAAGAATATTTTTTGTGATGGTTTATTTGCTTTTGTTTTCACGTCTTTAAAAAGAAATTTAAGGAATCCAATAATTTTAACCTATTTATTTTTGATTTTGAATAGCAAAAAAGATTTGGTGGTTGTTTAAATGTTAATGATTAACTATTTTGTTTCAAATATTCCAATAATTAGTAATCAGTGTAATTAGAAACAATTAAGAAATAATCATCTCATTTACCATTAAAAGAAGAAATCAGATATAATAGCAAATACTAAAAAATTATGTGTGTATGTAGGGAATTAATTTTTATTATTTGTTATATTTTTATGTGTTTTTTTTTCTTGAGTGTTATTTTATTATATTTAAAGAGTTTTTAAATTAAAGAGAGAAAGAACAAATTTGTGTGCTCTATTACACAATGCTACAAAAAATAATGAAGTAAAAATACCTGGTAAGTCATGTTATTTTTCAGGTAGGTTTTGCCGAGTGAAGTAAGAATCAAGATACGAAATTTTTGTCAAACACCCACACAATCTTGATTTACTGTTAAAAGCCCGGTTTTCCGCACTCATAAGCTTGTAACTCAGTTGACTATAAACCGAGTTTAGACCTTTCGAATGATATATGTATATAAACTTTTAGAAAACTTAAGAGATCTGTGTGTATTTTCTGTGTTAATTTTTTCGTCTTTTTTCAAATTTGGCAAAGTTTTCACGCACTATTTTATAAAGCAACTATACTACTCCTGAATTGATGCAATATTAATATTTGGTATATAGTGATTTTTATTTAAAAAAATCGGGGGAAATCTGACTAAGTTATACAACCTTTCATGAGAAAAATAATGTTTTTGGCTATATAACTCAACAATTTTTGCTTAACCTTTTTTTTTTGTTTTTTTTTCTCCTTGTAGTGAATGCAATATTCTGAAATAATTTGTCATGAAAATTTGAATATCTCATTTAATTTTTAGCCGACTTTGTAAAAATAAACATCAGTTTTACTCGATATTAAACATACTTTTCTCTTTTTTTAAATATTTATAGATATAAACATAGACCCATCATTCGAAAGGTCTAAATTCGGTTGAGAAGCAACTCACACAGTAGCACATATTTCGAAAGCGAGGGTCGTCTATGTTTGGCGGGCAATTATCAGGTGTATTTTAATTTTTTCATTGAATTAATTTTTTGACGCGGCGTAGCCAAAGCATAGCGCACAACCTACTGCTGGGTCCCGGAACGCTCCACACTAAAACCGGCTTTGGTATACGTCATACATTTCCGTCTACCAGTTTTTGGAAATAAATTAAAATAACCTAGTTGAAAATGTCATTAGGTGACGTCATTTGTGTGTTTCCAAAATTTAACAGTTATATGTTTGATTAAAGTTTTTTTATATTTCCGAATTGCCCAATATTTCTATAAAAAAAAAAAAATTCTATCATCTTACAGGGTCTGATCCGAACCCGTTAACGTCCGCGTATAGTATGTCACCGGCAGCTGGATTGCCACAATTCGGTAGCACCACATTATCGGCCTCGCCACTGACCAGTATGGCATTAAGTAGTGCCGCAGCTGCAGCGGCTGGCAAACAAATCGAAGGTAAGTTCATTAGTTTTAGGGCCGGTTACTTAGTGACTGGTGAATAGCCCAGTTATGCATACTTGCACTGCTATACCATTTTTACGTAAAAATCAAAACCCAACAGAATTCTACATGTTAAGTGCTATGCGTTGGGTAACCGCTTACACGCAAACCCCGTTTAAAAGATTCTTATGTGACAACCCTCATGCAAAGCTAAGTATGCATAACTGGGCTATAACACTAATTACAGGTTAAACATCCTCATCGACGTTATTGACTCCTTACTATATGTTAACGGTGGACAATCGCGGCTCTTTGAGTCAAATGCGGCTCTTTTTACTTTCTCTTTGCATAGAACATTTTGGCTCTTTTTATACCCGAGCGCACTTGTGCACAAGGGTATTATAACTTTGTTCACATAACGGTTGTTTGTAACAGGCAAAACGAATCGAGATAGATATAGACAAATGTATACATAAATGATCAGGATGAAAAGAGGAATCGATTAAGCGGTGACTGTCTGTCCGTCCGTCCGTCCGTCCGTCCGTCCGTCCGTCCGTCCGTCTGTGCACACGATAACTCGAGTAAAAATTAAGATATCTTAACGAAACTTGGTACGTGTACTTCTTTCGGGCGTAGGACGGATGGTATTGAAAATGGGCAAAATCGGACAATAACCACGCCTACCTCCCATATAACGGTAATTTTCAGAAATACGAAAACTGCGATATTTTAGTAACTACTGAAGATTATTAACTCAAAATTGATATTTACAATAATTTTTAGATGAAAAATAAGAATGTTATAAATTTTTGGAAAATGGGCGTAGCCACGCCCACTTATGGTTACATGTGTATATCTTGGTAACCGCTACACCAATTGCTTCCAAACTTGCAACAGTTGTTGGCCTTGATACAGCATACTAAATGGCCGAAAATTAAAAAAATCGGAAAATAACCACGCCCACATCCCATATAACGGTAATTTTCGGAAATACGAAAATTGCGATATTTTAGTAACTACTGAAGATTATTCACTCAAAATGTATATTTACAACAACCTTTAGAGGAAAACTAAGAATGTTATAAATTTTTGGAAAATGGGCGTAGCCACGCCCACTTATGGTTACATGTGTATATCTTGGCAACCGCTGCACCGATTTCTTCCAAACTTGGCACAGTTATTGACCTTGGTACAGGATACCAAAAGGCCGAAAAGTTTTAAAATCGGACAATAACCACGCCCACATCTCATATAACGGTAATTTGGAGAAATACGAAATCTTCGATAAATCAGTAAATATTAAAGCCAATTTATTCAAAATTGATGCTTGCAACAATTCCTTACCAGGAAATACGTCTATAATAAAATTTTGAAAAATGTGCGTGGCACCGCCCATTTATGATCACATATATGTATCTCGGTAACCGTTCTACCAATTTGTACCAAACTCGGTATTTTTATTGTGCTTGCTACATAAAAGCAAAACGATGAAAATTATTGAAATCGGACTAAAATTATGGCTTTTCATATAACGGTAAATTTTAGAAATGCTTTAAACGTCAATATTTTGAAATTTAAGGACGCTAATTTACTCAAAATTGATACACCCCGGCTTACCATGTAGCGGTAGCTTT